AAAAAAATCTGAATCTCCCATAACAATATGGTGCGCCCAGCTGCCATGTTAGTGTAGGAGGTGTGTATATTTTTTGTTGGTTTTCAACCTACACACGTCTGGAAAATCTGTGCACCACCGTGTACCACTCGCAGAACACTTTTAATGGATGTGCTAACCATTTAAACTCAATTCTATATAGAAAAGCATAACATGACATTTGCACATTGGCGATGTTTAAAAGATGGACACCTCGATTCACAATATCCAGTAATTTATCTTAATTTCACCAGAACAACACACAAATAGATTGTTTGGTATCAAAAAGAAGGCAGACGTACTCAAGCGCACAAAAATTTTCTATTGGTAAGTAGTTGTTAGAAACAAAGTTCTTAAAATAACACCATTGTCATGGTGTCACCGGACATGTGGGTGCCACAAACTATAGAACTAATTAGTAATGGATTATTCCACCTTTCCGATTCAATCACGCGTGGTAATTTATGATAATATAATGTATGAGTTATGACTAATCAAATAAACCGTTGACGATGTTATTAAATTGTTAAAACTTATATTAACGTAAATAGGTTACTAGTGTCGTTAACGGCTAACAAGTTAATGTTAACATGCTAATGACACTATCATTAGCAAGTTGAAATTTAATCATTAAAGTATTAGTCCCTTTAGTTTGTTTATAAATGTAGTAGTTTTAAAGGTTTTTGTAGTGTTAACAACGAGACGCGTCGTGTTATTACTTATTATAGTAATATCATAGGAGAAAATCTTTATTCTTATAGTAATAAGTGAGTATTTTTTTTTAAATGGGTGATAATGGAATGGTAACCCCACCTGCGTTATCGGTATACACCGGTGGGGCACCAGTGAAGGATGATAGGTGAGGATGAAGCAGGCCGGTTGGCCCATCGTGACGAATTCAACAAGAATTGTTCACGGTGGTTTCCAGGGGGAACCACGTGGAGGACGACCTAATAGGGCATATTGCTAGCAATGAGTCTGTCAAACTCCAGTGCTAACAGTCCCTTCTCCCCAATAAGTGAGTATTATATAGTTATATCTACCAACAGTGACCACCTCTTAAGTGTTGCGGAAAGCCAGTGGCGCGGGATTGTATTTTGTGACGTTATATGAGAGCTATGTTCAACAGTGAAAGGATGACCATTATGTTATAATGATGACGATAAGTAGAAAGAAGTTTCGTTCATTGTTTTCGACTCATAATATTTCATTCGGGAAAATACTGTTTGTCTTGATATTGCAAAAGCCTTTGATCACGTGTGGCATGAAGCGCTGCTTTCAAAACTACCTTCGTTTTAATTGCCTGCAAAATTGTGCAGGTGGGTCACCAGTTTTCTCAAAGAACGAAGCATTAAGGGCGTAGTCAACGGAGCATGATGTGATTTAAAACCTGAAACTATAAAAGGCTCATTTCCTGCAAGGCTGTGTTATGTTACATGACATTACTATGATATGTTACAGATCAGTAATATTCATTGCTTTGCAGACGACAGTACAGGAGATGCATTATATACCGGTCATGCAAAGATCTCGCGGGCACATACCGATGAGTGCCGGAATAGACTTGTGTCTGAAATTGAAACTTCACTCGATCAAGTTTGGGACCTGGGACGAACACAATCTTGTTCCATTTAACCCTAAGAAGACACAAGTCTGCGCGATCACCGCAGAAAAGACGCCGTTTGTCGTATCTTCTCGCTTTTAAGGCCCTTAAGTAAATATTTTGGTCCCTCTCTCGTATCCGTTTTGGAATCATCTTCCAGAAGTTAATTCCAAAACGAACACTGCTGCTAGTAGCAGTATTTCCGAACCAATACGACATCATAACCTCTAAAAAAAGCATATTCCTTTTTAAAAGGTCGGCGACACACCTGCCTCTAATATTGGGGGTGCTCTTGGGCGGTGGTAGGTGAGCCTCTTGCTCGTTTGCCACTTGTGTTATAAAAAAGGTGCTATTTATTTCAGTTTAAGTAATCATCAGTTACAATTTTAAATAAAAGAAACTGTGTAATGAACTCCCGTTCCAGGTATTTTTAATTTCCAATTTTTTTTAAAAAAGGAAAGTTTATATATTACGTACGTACTTGTATACTAGTATATCCTGTTCTAACCTCAACTGACCACATGGAAAGCAACTACGCAGAATTGAACTTCCGCAATTTAAAGATTGTATTACATTTAATAGGGTTAGACAGACGTAACATATACCTACATATTGTGACCGGTCGATGAAAACCGCAGGCGAGGCGAAGCCAAAAGATGCCTTCCGTAAGGAAAACCGCGATGTCTGAATCGCGTGCTATATTACCAGTATTGTCGTCAAAGAGTTTGCAAATCTTTTCTAACAAAAATAGAATTCAATTTGAAATGAAAGTGTGGTGAGTTATGCAAAGTATAGTCCCAATTTGGTGAGATCGATTTTATTTCCGTATGCGGCGGTTGGGACGGGCTCGGTGCCGGCTCGTCCCACCTGATGACACTAGCAACCGTATTGTACTCACGAAATCACGAAAACATTTCTGTTAGGGTTCCCCCAGCCAAATACATATAATTTAATTCGAGATCTAGAGATTTACCTATATGGTTGCGATTCGTTTACGAGCACTTTAACATTACAGCCTTTTCAAGAAACCAATGATGTACTGGATATATGACAAAAATTGTCTACAGTATTTAGCATTAGCACTTAAGTAAATGACCCTGCGTTTAAAAAAGAAATAGTATAGGAATTAATTTGATTTTTGTAGCCTCAACTGATCGACAAAGTTTAAAAATGTTGTCATCTAATTAGTAGGCAATCCTTCCATAGAGTAACTGGCATTTTAAAACAAAATTAATAAGAAACCCAATCGAAACTCAATTTTATTTATTTAATTTTGATCAAAAGAGATTGACATTTTCTTGGTGTCTCTGGCATTTATAAATTATGGATATGTGTATGCATTCGTAGGGAACCGCTGAAAAGATGAGAAAATACAATTTCCTTAAACTGATAACGAGGGGCACGACTATCAACTACTTGTGAGATAACTTTACAATCTACCTTTATTTGGATACAGTAAGTGAGGCCGACGTTGCGCCTGCGCACGGTCCATTGTCTCCGGTTGTTCGGTACGTTTGGCCGACGACAGCGCGTGACCACCCGTCGCGACACTCCATTTGACATGCATTTCGTGAATCCAATCTTTTTGACATTTAAACCAATAAGGAAATAGATAATTGAAGCAATAGTGAACAATGTACGATCGTGCGATCATATAGTATGCAATTATAGAAGTTGCAACATTGTATCTACAATATTTTTTTTTTATATAAATGAAAGTAACTCTTTATTTATTAGTAACTATTTATTGCACCACTTAAAGAATAATATAAAAAATACAGTATCAGACATATTTAGACATAGTACATGGTGTTTGTACTCATGGTGATTAGAAAGATAGGTTATGTTAAATGTGATTTGGTGAAAGCCCCAAAGATGATCATTTAAAAAATAACCTTAGATTTACGAACTCATGTCGGAAAATCCGAAGATTTACTGTTAAAACCTTAGATTACAGTAACATATATAAGCTTACTGAGAGACAAACTATAAAAACTACCAGTACCTGATAAAGGGATGTTAGTGAGTTATTGATTATTATTCATGCCAAGACAACGGTTATCTGTCACTTTCTATCAAGCCCTTCTATCACATCTTAAGGTGTTCTATTTTGTCTGTCTGGGAAGATATATCAGAAGTAGATAAAAATCAGGTAATAGTGATAGTACCCGGAACTTCATCCTGGCGGTAACTGCGCATTCAGCTCGCACTGAGCTGTTGGTCACGTACATCGCATCAGTTACATATAAGGGCCGCCTGTGATCTAACCGCGGTCCACGAACTTCGCCGCCGGTTCTCCCATACTTCAGGATCGCCACTTGTGTACTACCGTACTATGGATTATGTCTATTCCTAGAGTAAATAAGAATCAGGGAAGGTTTTCCTTTTAATGCAACTTAGAATGGCAAACAAGCTAATGGCCCAAGTTAGTGTAAAAAAACATGTTATATTAATTACGATATATATATTTTAGTAAACAGAATGTATGACGTCTCAGAAAAGCCTCTGGTTTTTACTCTGCTTGTTTGTTAGTACTAAACAACTCTCTCTCTTTTCCAATCTTAGGTTAAAACAGGAATTTTTGTATCTTATAGTGTGTATTTATGTATATTATATTATAGTATATTTTTTATGTATTATCATTATATAATCTTAACTTAGCACTAGGTAAACCAAGTCGAAACTATAAGATAGTCTTATGTCGAAACTAAGTGACCGGATTCGTGAAACTAAACAAAGCGCATTAATCGCGCTGTCACGTCATCGATTTACCAAGCATGAAAGAATAGAAATGTTTTAAAAAGTATCCAATTTCATAAATAAATATTCACATTTCACATTAATACAAGAAAGAAATCATTATTGTCATCAAAACAATCGATACTTTGTCGATTTCAGAATATTATACTCGTAGTTACTTCTTGATACTTCATTTTGCACGGCCTCCACCTCACGCCTAATACTGTGGTACATTATTTTCCACAAGGATCATGTTTTGTTAGCTAACATTATTGTTATTAACAGACAATTAAAACCATCATTCGTTCTGCTCAAATTATAACCTGTCATTGTAATATTTTTCTACAAAACGATCATCAGCTTTGTATCTTAATAGCTGTCTGTCAAAGCGACCTTCGCGTCTTCATTAGTTTAGTAGCCGTAATACACTTGGACAATATGGCCCTTGTTAAACATGCAAATGAGCAGTAGAAATATGATTTTAATACGATCTTTTCATTCATAACCGCGTAGTATTACGAAGGTCATTATGCTCTGAAATATGGCAACGATTATATCCTCATTACGACTGATGTCATGATATAAAAAACCCATTAATACAATTTTGTGACGAGCCTAATTGATTTGTGTTCTGTCGTAGGTTGGTGGCGGACCAGTATGGCGTACTATCGGTGCGGTCCCACAGCTATTGGGAACCGGACGTCGTGGGGGCCGGTGTCCTCGCCGAGCACTGCCGACAACAGCTTCGACAGACCGCTGAGCGGGAACTTTGATCGGATCTTTAACGCTTTCGAGAGGACCAATGCGTTCGAGTACGTCCGGAGCACATTCGAAGGAGGCAAAGAAGAGGAACGCCACGTCGGTCACGGAGATATAGTTGTGAACAGAAAGATGAGCAGCAGTTTCGAGCGCGCCGACTGCGCTCTGGCCGCGCAGACGCCGTGCTCGGAGGATGAAGATTTCTACCGGGAGAAGATTCTATACTCGCAGGCGAGGCAACTTTTCCCCCTTCAAGAGGATCTGGCCGACTGGATCAACAAGACTGTTGGTGAGTACCTCTGACGCATTCCTTACGAACAGCTATTGAGTGGTCGTTCAACCTGAATTTCAATTTTTGTGGCTGTAACTTTTTGTATAGTGAAATTATGCACGTGTTATGTATGTGCGATGTTATCTGTGTTGAGTAAGCGGTTGTGCGCCGTGAAAATTGCGATTTTACGAGTTTCTCCGGCCTGTATTGTAGCGTGGATTGTGGTTCGAGTTGTGGTCAGAACGTGCTGTACCGGGTTCGTGTTCTATACCATGTTCATCCACAAACGAGATAATCTCGCCGATTCTTATCTTATTCCCTTATAACTTCTGCTTTTATTTCAATGTAACCGCTTTTATGTTTGAAGATGTCATTATATTACAACAACGTGTATAACCTACCTACCTTTAGAGGGAGACTTTGTACAAAAGTCGATTGCTTGGGTACCTCTGTCCCATTCGTGTTTCAACCGTGAAGCAGTTGTGTTTGCATAACTGTGTTTCGGTTTGAAGGATGGGATATGGCGTGAATTTACTGGGTACAGAGGAATAACACCTGAGTCCTCAGGAATGGCAACGCATGGGGGGTATCATGGGCGAAACAGTATACTCTATTATGTCCATGGTACTGCTCATGTCTATAGGCGACGGTTACTACTTTCCATCAGGTGGGCCGTCAGCTTGTTTGCCATTCTAAGTAGTATAAAAAAAAAAAAACCTTTATTATACGAAAATTCATCGTGGAAAGTTTTTCTTTGTACGATATTATATGACTTCCTATTTAATATACGCAGTATAGTATATAGCATGTCTATACGTAGCAATCTTCAACTGTTTCTTAAAAACAGTGATCTAAATAATCTTAATACTAGATACAAATACAAACTTGCTGTTTCGAAGTATCGTTTAGAAATAGTTAATAATAGGTCTTTTATAGGAATGGGCATTAAATACCGATAAGATACCGAAGAATATTTTGGATCTCCCTTTTAATAAATTTAAAACTGTTATTAAAAACACTTATTGAACAAAACCTATTACACTCTAAACGATTATATGAATGACAAACCTGCACGGTGTTAGTCAATCATGCACGGGCTTTTTAATGACCATATAATTTTAGACACAGTACATTTAAATAAATACACATAATGGTAACAGAGATTTAAAAGAATAACAGTTGAGTTTCTTGGGGGCTCTTCTCAACAGATAACAACTTTCCGAAACCTTGCAGTAGATAAAAAAAATGACGATTTAAAAGTGCTTGTAAACAAGTGTGTTTGAATAAAGATAATTTAAAATTAATCTTTGTGTTAGGTATATAACTCATACAATAGCACACGAATTGTTACAATATATAAATCGTAATATTAATTAACAGCAGAATTATTGAGCAAATTCGCCTCATTCATTCGTTGTCGATTGTGTTCCATATTTAATTCGACTCATCTCATAATAATATGTAAATAATCTTCCATTTTGTAAGTCATCTACCATTCTATATAGAACAACCCTTATATTAATGCGTGCTGTTTAGTTAACATATGTTATAAATTTTTTTTATTGTTAAATTATAGTTATTGATCATGATATATTTTTTACTCTGAACTCGTCAACAATTACATATGCATGCTTTACAACTGCTTTATGTGTAAATAGTAACAATAGTCCATGATTTAGAGTCGATTGTATCATCGTTCCATATACGCCATGTTTTTATGCGCCGACGCCAATCTCGGACCGCGTAGGCGCACCTAATGAATGGATTCCAGCAAACAAGTTTTTGCTATATCAGTGTGTCTAATTGATGTTAAATTACTTAAAGTAAATTTTTGCGATAGTAACAATTAAACTATTAATTGGTTACGCAGTCTTAATGTGGAGTATTTGGAAATTGTATTTAGTGAAGGAGAGAGGAACTATGTAGCTACTATTTTCTCTACCGCACTTACTTATACAGAGTTAATACACTCGACATGCCAATCAAGGTGGCGAGGATCGACTTGAATACCAACCAGTGTGGCACATCGTTATGGTTGACTATAGTTTAGCTAAACACAAAGCCTCTATCCGGGGAAAGGCATTGTTAGCAATGTGAAGGTTAGTCTCCACCTCTATCAATTTATCTTATAGGTCGACCTCCACCCAGTTCCTCCTGGAAACCACCGTGACTAATTTATCGTTGAATTCGTCACGATAGGCCACCTGACCTGCCTTTTCATCCTCACCTATCACCTCTCACTGGTGCCCCGCCAGTGTATACCGATAGCGCAGGCGGAGTTACCATTCCATTATCATCCATAAAAAAAGCCTCTAGCCAAACTCTTTTAATGTTGGGTCACAAAAATTTCATAAACATACGGACATATCTTTATCATCATCATTATCAGCCATTATCTGTCAACTGTTGAACATAGGCATCCTCCAAAGACTACCATACAGAATGGTAGCAACCCTTGTGCCAGTTTACCATTGGGGAGATTTTGCCAGTAGTAGCTACGCTTGAGTGGCAGATTGACAACCGCAGTTTGATGTTTGGAGATGTTTTGAGAGGGATGCTGCTGCCCATACCTCAATTGTTAAGTTCCCTTAGTCACCTCTTATGACAGTCACGGGAATGGAAGGGATGGCCCATTCTATGCCGGAACCACGCGGCGATGGTTATGTAATCATAAAGAAGAAAGAGACATAATAGATACATAGATATCGGAAAAAGTCTATTTTCAGTATGTTCAGTGTACCTATTGTATTTTTTAAGTCCTCTAATTGGGGGAGATCTTCCATTCGTCGAAGGGCAACAACTAGAATCAATAATGTTGTTTGTTGCAAAATGATGATATTAAAACGTGTCGAGCGTGTTATCACTTGTGAAAGTAATTTATTTTATTAATGTATAATGTATGTAAATTTAAAATATTGGAATGTTGTCAGTCGTAGCCAGACGTGCATGGACGGACAGAAAGCAAATACTTTTACCTAATAGTTATACCATATTTTGGTATAAAAGCAACAAAGGTACAATTTCGAATACATTTCGCATCTTCTACCTACCCTCATAACAATACAAAATAATTAACATTCGCATGTTATTTCTTAGTTACTTTTCAGAATTTTTTCTATTTTTGGAAGCGCTCCGAACAGACATTTGAATGTAAATAAAATCATTATTTACAACCACATCTCCATAAATATAAAACACAATAGGTATTTGTGGCCATTAATGCTGGTATTAGTATGAACTTAATGTTTTTTATATAAATGGTAAATGTAAATAAAACTATTTTTGAGACTTGCTTCTAGTCACAGTGTTAACGCCTACTCGAAATGTTATAGTCCATACAAAAGCTAACCGTATTAAAATTGTTTGCTTTTGTAACTAAAGGAAACTAAAACATTATATGTAAATGTTGGATTCAAAATTCGAACGAAAAACAAAAATAAATAAAGAGTTACAAACAGTAACTTTTGGACACCAATTTTAAAACTTAACGCTAGATGCATTAAAAGTTAAAAATATTATTTCATTTAAATAAATAGAAACGTTTATAGTTTGTAAATGGCGCGAGTTCCAAACCAAGGGAAAAAGTTCTCAATTGATACGAGTTTTCTTTGCGGGCTATTTTATGCCTCTACATGGCCAATTCTGAATCAACTTTCTAATATTTATGCTTAATTTCGGTTCTATAATTCTATTTCATCTATTAAATGTTTTGTGATGATTGTAACTTCTGTTTTTACTTTCGGGACAAAAAACTGCTTTTTACGCAGCAAAACCTACTTGCAGTCCAAAATTCTGCGTTGTAAATTCAAATGTTTTCAATCTATCCCGCTATATGATTTTGAAACATAATAGTCATACATCGGTGTATTTTCTTATGTCCAAATTTGAATTTAAGCCTACACAATTGCCAATCGTAAATTGAAATTAATTAAAAGTTAAATTAATTTTACAAAAATATAGAATATTTTAAATAGAATAGTAAACACTGCCGGCGAGCGTGTATGAAAAGATTGATGAATGTGGAAGAAACGAAAGAGGTTTGTTTGAATCGAAACATTTGGCGTTCCATTGTTTCTGGCTACCCTAATGGGAGACAGGCGTGACAGATATGTATGTATGTATGTAAACACTGCCCCTGTAATTTCATGTTTGTGGAAGCGTGCAAATATTTGGTCATTTTTAAACTGCAATACCAATAAATAAATCATAATATTATTTTATTAGTCTTTAAGTGAGTGATATGTGAGTGTTACTACAGCGTATCGTATCGTATTATAATAGCTGCAACAGTAACAAGCTCGAGTTGTCTCTCAACTGAGGAGTGTTAAAACAATTATTCTGGGAACCGACCGAGACTGGTATTGTCAAGCGTGAGCTTCGTTGTAGACCCACAAATTACCTCAACGTGTCTGTCTACACAAGTAATTAGGTAACATGAGAATTTCTTGAACGCGATGTTGCCATGGCCATTGTTAATTCATAGTTTCCATAGAGTATTCATATCACAATTAAAACAACTATTAGCTAAAATATGTTATAACGATATAGATGAATATTTAAATGATAAAAATTTGTAATAATAAAATAACGCATAATATATAAATATTACTGGTTTAGTTAATAATACTAAAATTGATAATGATACTAAATAGATATAAAAATATGAACAACTACATTAAATTGCATTAAAATAAAATAAAATATATGAAAATAAAAAAAAATCGTTAAAATAATTAAATTAATTTGGAATTTAATTCGAATTTAATTAAATTGATGAAATTGAAATTGAATTATTTAAATCTTTATGAAAATTTAAGAATCGACGCCCCCCTCGCTTCTAATTGCTGCGCCCGACAGGGTCTACAATGTACTTTATCCATTACTAACATCTTTCATAATAATATTGTAGAATGCAACAAATAAATTGAATTGAATTAAAAATTTGGTAATTATTTAACCAGAATTATAATAGCACCACTGACATGGACAAATAAGCTAACGGCCTATTTGATGGCAAA